AGGAAGGAAGGAAGGAAGGAAAAGAAAGGAAAGAAGGAAGGAGAAAGAAAGAGAGAAAGAGAGAAAGAAAGAAAACGAGAGGCGCCTACTCGTGGCTGTGATTTTATTCTAGCTAAGCCTCTTGGCCCTTCCTGAGGGCAATGCTGGAAGCCAGAGTGGACACAGCCATGGTGTGCCTGCTGCGTGCTCTTCCACCCACCAGAACTAACTCCCAGGCTCCCTGTTCTGCAGGAAAATGCAAAAAAGGCATTTGGGTCTTGGGGCTCCCCACTCATGCTCACTATGCTGGACCTGGACCTCCTGCCGGCCCCCAAGGTTCAAGGCCCAGCCGGCTCCAGCCCAGAGCCCACCAGATGAAGGACTGTGATCTCCACCTTGGCCCAGTCCTCTCCCCAACTAGCCTAGAGCCACAGCGTCTTGACTCCTGGGCTTGGGTGACAAACCCTCTCCCCGTGTCCCCTTGCTGTGGGGTGTGCCCATGGACAAGGCCAGCCCTCTCCCACCTGCTGGGACGGCACTTTTCCCCACCATAGGACAAACTTCAGCAGATTAAATCCAGGTTCAAAATGAGAGCACAAACCGCCTCCCAACACAGGCGTTTCTGGTGCTTACAGGTTTACTACAATGCAAATGCTCAGACGACGCACACGAACTACCCACTGCTGCTTGGAAGTTGTGCAGTTTCCCAACAAGCAGACAGGTGAGTGACGTCACCAGGAACCCGCACAGGCTCCTTTGTGTGCACATATGTGGAGATGTGGAGACTTGCAGTTTATCACATACTTGAGCCCTGTAGGCAAGTTCCCCACAGATAATTGTGAGGATGCTGTGCCCCCCAGGCTGAGAGAGGACTGGGCTGACGTGGAGTTCCCAGTCCTTCATCTGGTGGTTCTGAGCTAGAGCTTGCTGGGCCTTGCAGCCTTGGGGGCCGGCAGGAGGTCCAGGTCCAGCATAGTGAGCATAACTGGGGAGCCCCAAGACCCAAGCAGCTGCCCAGATAATTTGGGGCTCATCCTGTTTAATGCATGCTTTCCGGGTTCTTATCCAAGAGCTGTGAGCCCCGTGGCTTCCGTGCGGGTGTGTGAGCGCACCCAGGTCTGGACACCTCCATAAACGCCATCAGACCTCAGTCGGGGACGTGTGTTTCCGCTCTTCTGGGTGGGCCTGGCTACATGGCCGGAGCAGCAGCCGAGATAAATGGGAGTTACCTGTTTGCGTGGCACAACCAGCTCATGGTCCGGCACGCCACCGCATCGTTTTCTGGAATCCACCCTGGACTCGAAAATCCAATCCTCTGGGTAAACCAGAGTTTTCTGGCTTTGTGACTTTGCTTTACCCTGTCATAATGTCATTTCATCTCCCTTATTTTGAATCCCTGTTTTCTTTATGTTCATAATTTGAGCATCCTCATCTGAGAACCCAGCTCTCAGAATGCTGCAGCCCATCCATGGTTCTCCCATTCAGAGGCCGCTCAGCTTCATCATCACCACCATCAACATGACACTACCGTCCACCTGAACTTTGAATGGAATTTTGCCTCTGGAATGAATTTCTAGCAGAGTGTTAACATAAATAGGGCACATTCCTAACATCGTCATTGGCCATGCAGTTCTCAGCACTGTTTATGTAGGTTGTGAGACATTTCCAGCTCCCTGACGGGCTGCACTCCTCCTTGAAACTAACAAGGCCCTAAACCTTCGGTAAATTTTGTAGTTTCCAAAACATTGTGTACTTAGGTCAACCTGCAGCGAGAAAGGCACCTCCTGTCAACGGGACCAGTGTCCCAGAGCCACCGTGGTGAGGAAGGGTCCGGCCGTCACTCTTCATCACGCTGACTTCTATCAGATCCGGCCTCAGGCAAGCCTTCTGGGACACAGCCAGAGCCTGGGTGGCTGCCACAAGGGCTGAATTTAGACCATAAAATCGGCCCCTCGCTCCGACCTTTCCTTGACACACAGCTGCTGGACACCTCCTAACAGCAAAAGCCATGGCCTCGGTTCCGCTGTTGAAAACTGCTGCCGGCAGCTTTTCTAAGGTGTGGTTTACACTGACGGTGCTGTCACGCAGAAGCCTTGAGATTTTCTTTTAAAAACACACACACACATGATTGGGCTAATGGAGTCATTTTGGTCAACTTCCCAGCAGTTATAATTTCTTTGCAAGACTTAATATAAACTAGGTTGAAAAAGGGTCCTAAAAATGGATATTTTGGTCTTGATTTCATTAGTTTCTTCTAAGAAGTCTAATCATAATCATAAAACAAAACTAAAAAAAAAACAAAACCTGAAAACCAAACCCCCATTTTACATGGAAAGATTCTACTGTTCTTTGCACGGCCTGAGGTGCTATGGGCAGGGTGGGCGTTAGTGGGGTAGGGGCGCTGCTCAATGGGACGTGAGTTCAGACAAGTGTTGACCGTGGGCTCTGAGCCAGGCCCCCTGAGATCTTCGCCGGGCCACCCCAGGCAGGTGGCCTCCTCGCCTGAGCTTCGCCATCTACGTCTGAGTCAGAGTGCCAGCCGGAGCCCCATGTGGAGGGTTCCCTGGGGCTGTCCCAGTAGGAGAAGCAGGACTGCTGGTGTTGCTGCAGGGGAGTGAGGCTCATCAGGACAGCCCAGGCAGGCCGCTGCGGGTCCAGGCATGCTTCTGGGGTGCCCCAACTCCAGACGATATCAGTGGGCTGGGAGCTCTGACCCTTGAAACTGTAGCAACATTTCCCCAGACTGTGCTCAGATCACTCATGGACAGCAATGCGTTCCTCCACATCACTCGGGGGAAAACACAGAGGGGCTCAATCACAGGGAGGTCTCTGTGCCGGTTTCTAACTTGGGTCTTTAAAATTTCAGCGAAGAGGTTACTTTGACATCAGTTGAATCTACCCTTTGTGATGTGATTTTCATGCACACCTCACTCTACATGCAAAGACCAGCAATAGCATTTGTGTCTGGTGTGAATTTCTAGGTCCTCCTCTCTGAAGAACAGTTGCCTGTGCTTGGCGCTAGCTGGGGCCAGGAACTCGGTCTCTTTGGACCATTCTTGTTATCCTTGTCCAAGTTACTCCTGTGCCTCTTGGGGGTCCTGCTTGCTCCTGTCCTGGGCCAGCTCCCCCAGAGCCTGCTTCTTGCTGCTTCACTGGAAGCACTGAACTTCCTTCCAGCCTCTGTGGGGCCAAGGGCTTGCATTTTGATTAGGAATTTGTATTACTTACAATGCCAACTCCCATATGCTGCGTGAAGTTTCTTTGTGGCTAATTTCTCAGGAGCCTTGGAATGGTCTTCCGTCTTTATGTCTGTGTGACTCCTCTGTCCTAGCCTCCTGCGTTCTCTGCCCAGCCGTCTGCATTCCTTGTGGAAAGCGTTCTGTCCCTCTGGAGTCTGTACATGTGTGTCACTTCCTGCCTGATCTGTGGCTATTAGAATGGTTAAATCTGGCTTCTTTGCACAGGAAAGGTGTAACTTCCTGCTTTGGGGTCGTCTGAAACTGGCCGTGCACGGGGCTGACCTGTGGATGGACAGCACTTCCTATGTAACATCGTCAGGTGTCCTCTTGGACGCCTGCACATTGTTTTGAAGCTCTGAAATGCTAATTTTCAAGTCATAAGAGAGGGTGTAGTCCTAGAAGTGCTCTGGGTAGTAGCGGCACCGGTGGATGAAGTTGGGGAACAGTCACCCGGTCACTGTGAGCAGGGGCGGAACTCCTCATTTCATATGCAAGTGACGATTTTCTGGTTTAATTGAAAAAGGTGAACTGCTCTGTGTCTGCATTTAAACCACAAATGGATTTTGTGTTTGTCAGGGGCTTCATGACCCAGTCATTGTTCACGATTAGCTTCAGGTGGGTTAGCATTGTCCTCAGTTTTTCAAAACAAGGAAGCTGAAGTTAAGCAAGGTCAAGACTTGCCTACACTAGGAGGGCGTCCATCTTTCCCAGTTGGTAATGCACAGGGTCAAAACCATCATAGATATTAAGCGGCCATCTTAAACAAACAGCATGTAAAGGAGTCCAAGTTCATTCCCTGTTCTAGTTTTCTCACAGTTAGACGATTGCTCTTTTTCTCTCTAAGAAATGTGAACAACCAACTCAGAAAGCGTGTGTCAATTGCAGCCTGGCATTACCAACGAACACCAAGTGCCAGGGCAGAGGAACCCCTGCAGCCAACTGAGCATCGCGGAGAGACTGGGACTAGGACCCCGGGCCCCACGTCGCCCAGTGCTGTGGAACGTGGTACAGGAGCCGTGTTGCGATGCGGGTGATGCTGGAAGTGACTCTCAGCATTGCTCTTCTCCCCTCTGTTTTGATGCTGTTGACAGGACGTTCTTGTATCTGTAAGAAGTCTGTGCACCGTATTCTGAAGAAGTGGTCTACGTGACTCCTACTTTTCTTGACTTTCATTCTTGTCGATGTTCTGGGTGTCTGCTTGGGAAGAAGGCATGGTCTCTGGTTACTGAGCACTGCATTCTGTGTTTATCCATCAGATCAAACTCTTTGTGTTGTTCAACTCCTTTATATTTTGTTTGTCCTAAATTAATTTTT